AATAATAAATTTAATAAATAAGTTTAAAATCATCTTGTTGATTAATTATCTATTTATTAAAATTAATACTTTTTATCACAAATATGAATAATAAACGAATTGAGGTATACTTTGACATGTATTAAATGAAAAATTCACGATTGTTAGTGATATTTATAATATTTTTAATTTGTTGATGTGTATATTGTGTTCACTATAAATTTTGCCAACTTAATATACACCGCTTTTTAAATTAATAATAAATTTCGATATTTTTGTAAATTGTATTTTTTTACGTCATAAAACTTACACACAAATAATTGTTATTTTAACTATTTACATATTAGACTTTTTAAGCATATAAACTAATCAATATTAAATTATATTTTTTACAAATGTACTATCCGACTTATTTTTTGAATTTATAAGATGTATATTATAGAAAGAAAAAACTACTGAATATCTGGTAACGTGACAAAAAGTACCTATGTTAAATATATTTTGAGTCAGATTATTTTGTTGTAGTTTAAGCATGTGTGGTGAATTTTTTTTTTTTGTTGTTGATTTTTATAGATTTCCATTATATATACTTGAATAACATTCAAACTGAATGATTTATAACAGTATTATGTATAAATTTCGTTAAGGAACTTTTTTTTAATAATGGGTAAATTTTTTTCAAGTTTTGAGGGTAATAACTTTAAATAGATACTAGTTGTAATTATTTAAAGTATTGTTGAAAAAATTGGTCAAGTGAGAGCTATTATAATAAATGAGAGACACAAAAAAAACCACATCGTAGAATAATTTTAAGGTAAATACGAAATTACTTCTCACAAGGGGAGTCTACAGTAATAGGTTCTTTGATATTTATTCAATCCAAATGAGATAAAAATCAAATAACTTTTGAATTTTTTTCTAACTTAAAAAGAATAAAGAAAAAAATGCAAATGATTATTTTGTTGGTCGCTTATTGAACCTCGTACCCGAGCGTGAGTGACTTTAGTGTTACCGACACGGCAACCATACATTACATATATTAATAGATATAAAGGACAATAAAGTAAATTTAAGATACAAAGTTGTATTTCTTAAATTAATGTAGGAAAAATATTTAAAATTAGTTTAACTTTATATTCAATGCCAGCAAAGGCGTAAAGCATTTGAGTAAATGTATTTGAATAAAAGTATTCAAATACTTTCATTGGTATTGAATAGTATTTTTAAATACATTTAATAAAAAGTATCTGAGTAGTATTTTAAATACAATTATTTAGTATTTAATACTGTTTAATATTCAGTACTATTAATATACTTTTTTTTTTTTAATTTGCTAACCGTAACACAGCAAGCAAATTAAACTCAGTCAAAATGAAAATTGAGAATAATTCTCTGTTATTTTATATGTTACATTATAGTATAACATAATTATTGTGCTTATATAAATGCTATTATGTATACATCTATTTTTAATACATCAGTTGAACCTACAGTAGCCTATTGCAGGTTCAAATTATTTACTCTATTATCAATAAGACATACTTTACAGGTTTTTACACGTGTACTAATATTAATTTTTTTCACTGATTTAGTTTTTTAGTTTTAGTTTTAGTTATTATTGAGGTGGACATAATGCCCATGCACTCAGACCTGTTGGTCCATTGTGCGCACCTCATACCGAATTGTCTTGATTCGGTTTACCCACCTAAGTGTTATCACCAAAGTGTTATCACCAAAGTGTTTTTCACTGATTAGTCTCCAATAATTAATTTTATTTATCTCTAACAAAATATATCGAAAATAATAAATGAGTTCTCTTAATTTAAGAGTACTCAATATTTGACTCAAATTACCCTCTTGGTAATTATTTAGAAGGAACCTTTTGCTCTTAGTTAAAATAAAAACATTATTATTATTTTTTAATTGTATTCTTAGTATTTGAAATACTTTTGTTAAGTAATTGAGTATTACTCAAATACTTTTGTATGAAAAGTATTCAAATAGTATTTTAAATACAATTTTTTTTAAATATTTGAATATTATTTAAAATACTTTTTAAAAGTATTTTTTACAACTATGAATGCCAGTTAGATTTATGTATTTTGTATGAAAATCAATGGCTTCATTATTATAAGGCAATCCCTTATAAAGTGTTTTAAAATAAAAATACCTCAGTTAAAGGTATAGCTTAATTGTACATATTTTTAAAACTGTGTAACATTGAAATTTAAAATAAATGTGCACAAAAACAATTTCAAATTGAATTTAGTTAACGGGAGACACTAACTTACAGGAAATGAGGAAATTTTTCAACTAATAAGTGCTATGTCTTTAATTATATACAATTTTTGATTTTTTGACGTATTGTTGAAAGAAAATGATAGCTAAGAATAAGTATCGATAGACATTTAAAAAACTCATCATAGTTAAATTAATACCTTCTAAGCTTCGCATAGAAGCTAAAAAAAGTCAAAAGACCGAACCGTCAAAAACTTATGTTGCCACATACTCGCTACGGACGGGAAACAGTACAAACAGTTTCAATTAAAACTATTCCCCTATAAATTGATCAATGCGCTCAGATGGCTATGTTCCGGTTAACCTTTAGAGTAGCGGTCAATAAAATTGTAAATCAGAGTCGGAAGTTATCTAGAAAATTTTTTAATCAATATTCATCATGATTATATTCAAGAGATGATAGGAGTGGGATGATTGTCAACAAAATGCTTCTCGCACAATCAAAAAACAACAGCTTATTATGACAAATGTAGATAATAAAAACTATCATAATACGCAGTTGGCTCAACCAAAATAAAAATTTACAAAAAAAATTAAGTTGCCTTTTTGTTACATTACAAAGTAGAGTTAAATTTCATTTATTTTAATGAAACCATAATAAATATCAATTTTATTGTAAGAAAAATGATCTACATGAGTAAGTTTTAGAGGTAACTTTCAAAAGTAATGGGAATCTATGTCATTTTTTTAATGTTACATGGGGGATAGATAAATTAAATTTTGACTAGTCGATAAACAGTTTTGTAACTTTTTTGAATTCGTCTGCCGTCACCCGCTTTAACATGAATGTGTTTGTGCGTATACGGTTTGGCCTGGTGAGCAGTCGGCTACTGTAAGTCGCGCAACAACCGGTTAGGTTTAGTTAAAACTGACTACAAATTAGCTCATGAGCTACCTATCGACGAAAAGTTGATGTTCGGACCGCACGTAGAATGTGCGACCAAGCTGGCCCGGAGGGTCATGGATAGTTTGGCGGGATTGATGGCAAACCTGGGGAACTGAGAGAACTGACATCGATGGTTAACTAAGGAAGAGATCGTGTGATCATAGACAAAATCCCTGATATGAACTAGCCGTCTTGACATGTAGATTGCTCGAACTCACGGGGAAATTCCGTACAGTCTTACCTATGTAATATTCGGGCACGGCTGCTTAAATGAATTGCTCCGCGGTATTCTTAAAGTAGCCGTGTCAACGTGCGACTACTGTCTGGATTGCCTGGAAGAGGCGAACAATGAAATGCATACGCGGTGCATGGAAGACCAGCGAACGAGAAGAATTGGAGTCTTGCGTTACGGCCTTATTCGGTATGACTCTTCATATTAAGAAGTCAGGAAGGGTGGTCACTCATCCATGCGTTTGCTGATCAGTGATGATACGTAAAGAGAAAGATGATCGTATTAGACAGAGAATGACTCCTGTTTCAAACTGAGCGTAAGGATTTTGTATTTGTGAGTTATATTCCAACCTACAAAAATTTCTGCCTAAACCTTCACGTAGTGCAACTCGGGCAACAGATCCTATTTTACGGGGTTGCTAACGGAGGAGACCATGCCATACTACGAGTTTTAAGATGGTGTAGGCTATCCTGAAGTGATGCATAAAGGCAATTCCTGGATGGCCCAAATAAGGTCGTGATGTATAAAAAAAAAAACAAATTAGAACTTAGCGGCTTTAAAAACTAGGTTTACACTATTTTATATTATTATCAGATATAACTAAAGTAATATTACTTTTAAGCCCAACAGGAAATAAATATTAAGGAGAAAAAAAAAACTTTTTATGCAATACTAAAAGATGTATTTGACTTTTTCAAGAAAATATACGGTTAGTACTACGTTATTTCAATACAAAAATAGGATATAAGAAATGCTATAAAGCAACTGTTGGAAATCATAGTCTGTATATTAACACAAATGACAATTGTATTAAACTAAGTGATTTTTATGTAAGATAGGAATCTGGTAGTTAAAAAAGTGCTATTCTTCTACGATAAGATATATATATTAACCGAATGATCCCGTCCTAATAAAAAATTAAAAAATAGTATATTGATTATAAAAACCTTTCTATAATTAACTTGACAAAAATAATATTATAATAGTTATACCTGCGCCTATATCTCACTCTAAATTTCAAAATCGTCATAACTTACGAAATACTAGTTCAAATATTATTATCGAATCGTTGTATTCTTAATTAGATAATTATTTATTTTAAAGACTAGTTAAATATATATGTAGTAATTATTAAAAAAAAAAAAGTTGTCACCCTGAACAGAATACGTAAACATCAACGGCGTTATTTAAAGAAAGGAACATTGATACACCTTTACTTATGGAAAAAAATCTAAGGAACAAAATGAAAACTCTGTTGAATTTTCGGAACATCTAAAACAAAAAATCAAAGAAAAATTAGCAGAAATAGTAAAAGGAAAAATACGATTTTTTTTATCCAAATACTTTATTTTCAAGAACTTTTCGAATCTAGATAAAAAATCATTTTTTACCATTATTTTAAATGTAAAATTGCAGTAAATTTATTTTTAAATGTTGTTTAAAATGTNTTTTTTACCATAATTTTAAATGTAAAATTGCAGTAAATTTATTTTTAAATGTCGTTTAAAATATATATAATAAATCTGGATTACAATTAAAATTAATAGCATAATATGCTGATTTCTACAGCAAATTTGTATTTATTATTATCATAGCACCAATTGATTCAACTGTATAACTTTTTAATTTTGAATTATAATAAATACACTACACTAACATAAATTTTAATTATAAAGATATAAGATTGTCTTATAAGAGCTAAATTGGTTTAACCTTAAAATAAATATATATGAAATTCCGCAAATAAATAATTTATAACATTAAAATAATTGTGTTAAGTATAGTAGCTAAATAAAAGTTTGAAAATTTGGTTAGCCGATTTGTTAGTTTAATCGATTTTAGCAAAAATCGATTTTAATTGATAACAAATTTTTAAGACTAAAGTAACCATGTTCACCTTGTTCAATTATAATAATTTAAAGTTTTAAGGTGACACTTTCACAGCTCTGTGCTCGATATTAAATAAATACAATATTTATAAAGTTAAATGATTGCTAATTAACTAAAGGTACTTGGCAAAAACAATATTGTAACATGATTATAAGTTCGGGGACGGTAATGATAAGGCCGTATTAGACAATAGTTGTAAAGAGAATAGGTAGTATAGTGATACAATGCAAAATACAATTTTAACATTACCTGACTAGTTAATCACAATATATATATATATATTTATTTATACTCTCGAATAAAAAGTTAACGGTGGTGTTTGTAACTTTAATACTGGTTAAACTTAATCGCAATATGCTTAAAAACTACAATATATAATAATTTAATATGACAATATTAGCGAAAATAGTAGATAAATATATATTTCTAACAATAATTTAGTATTTTCTGGTCTACATATAATAAAATAACTGTGTTAGTCTTGAATTTTTATGTTTGAATTATATAAACTATATACCTAATAATTTAATACTATGATGAAATTATTAGGTATGTTAAGGCACAACGTGATATTTGATTTACCATAACAACAATTAATAAATAAAATATTTATGCCGAAGCTAACAATATTAATAATAATAATATAAGGAGATAAAAGCTGGTCGGTAGATCGCACTTAAGTAGGAAACAGATTTTGTGACATTCACCTATGCGCAAAAATACTTTAATAATATTTATAAGATGTATTCGTTTGTTTGACACGATGTTCTTGGTAGCGTTACATAAGCTTTTGCTTAGCACATTCTGGGCAAATGATGTCTTCAGCATCAGTGATAAAGCCTTTACCGACTAAAGAAGTTTTACATGAGGCGCAAGTGAAACAATCATTGTGCCAATGACGATCTTCAAAAGAGATGAATCTTGTGCCGCCGATTCCTGAATAAGTATAAATTTTAATGTTAGAATTTATAACAAAAGCAATATGCATATGTATATATGACGTAAAAGTGATTCAATAATGAATTTTTAGTAGCACGTAAAATTATCTTATCTTAGATAATATAGTACAACTAAATATCTTGAAATCTTAACGTCACATAATTGACCTTAAGGCCTTCATTATAAACTCATCATCTTATAAATAAGTTATAAAACTACTCCTATTAAATGTGGCAAAAAAATTCTGTAATACCCAACACGATAATGTTACTCATATAATTTCAATGGGTTAACAACAAATTTTAAATATTTTATATGATATACTATCATATAAATAATTAAATATCATATCACATCATAATTAAAATATTATAATAAATATTTTATACAATGTACAAAACTTTATCTAAATCTAAAAGTATATTATACTTTTAAGTTAAGATAAAATTTTAATTTTGCATCTCTGTCCTAAAAAAAGATCAATAATTTCTTACAGAAATAAAGTTAAAATAAAAGAATAAATTCTTTGAATCAATAGTAGTACCTGTTATTGGTTTAACACATGCAGTGCATCTCTTTGCAAAGAGCTCTCCAAAACAATCGCCACAGTATGGCTTTTCCTCTCTAGATGTAAAGCGTTGTCCAGCCAATGAAGTACTGCAATTGCTACATGTAAAGCATTCCCTATGCCACGGTTCATTTTTATATGTCACGCCGCCACTAGTTATAATCTAGGAGTAAAATAATATATTAATTATAGATTTTTGGTATTTGAACCTTTTTAATTAAAAAAATATACCTTGTCACATTTGACACAGCGGGTCGAGAATTTTTCTTCATAACAAGTAGCGCAGTACACTTCTTGTTCTCTAGGGATAAAGCTTTTAGTTCCAATTGGTGTTTTACATACGATACAAGCGAAGCATTTCTCGTGCCATTGCCTAGTTTTGTATTCCATCTTTTTTGTACCTACGAAGAAATTAAAAAGATTAATATTGATTTATTTATTTTTCCTTTGGAAGCCTTTATAATATAATATTGCCCTAGAATTTATGTAAGTCCATTGAAAAAAAATTTGATCCTCATTACTATTTAAGAAGTATTAACATATGCCACTACAGACCGATACAAATATAGCCTTTTTTAAAAGTTTTAAACGAGACGTCTGATATAAATTCAAAAGCGTTATTATTTATTCGACATAAATCTAATTAACGAATTATGCCAGATAGAAAGGCATTGCGGAAACAAATGATTAACACAATATCAAGATCATATTTACAACCATGATTTAATGAAAGGTGATTTTGACAACTAATGGATAAATTTTCGCCCACAGTCGATATATCCCACGCGGTAGCGTTAAAACTGATACCAACAAACAGGACTAGACTCGCAGTATAGAAATTTTTTCCTTCTGAGGGTCCTTACCTCCTACGACTTCTAAGTGAAAGAAACATCGGCTACCTACGACAAGGAAGAAAAAAGACCTAATTGTTTACTTATTGAATACATCTTTTTTCAGCTTGCCAAATTTAATTTCATTAAAATATGGTGTGGGTATTTCAAATTTGATACTATAAACGATGATGTGTCAGCAAACCCAAAACCCACTCTCCCGAATAGGAACATTACTAAGAAGAAGCACGTAACAAAACGAGTAGTTGGTAAAAATAAGACGAGTCATACAGCTGACCAAAAATCGACACGTATTACCTCTACCTTCATATTCATGATGAACGAACGTTGTTCAAATCCATACACGAATCACATAAAATCATTAAGATTATGATTTCTGGAAGGTCATAGATGATCAATTGTTATACATATATGGTATAGAATTTTTATTCCAAGTCTTTAGATGACAAAAATACTTAAAAACAGTTACTGTTTACACAGCTAATCGGATAGCTATAACATGTGTTTTTCCTTTCAAATTATTGTTGTCAAATTTGAGCTTCAAACGCCTGTAAAATTCATATCCAAGGACAAAAAATATATTAATGATAAGTATTTTTTCTATATATAAAAAAAATTACTGCGTTTTAATCAGATGGATTACATCCTAGACAGACAATAAAAAAAATCAATTGTTTAATGTTGTCGGCGGAAACACAAAATGNAATTGTTTAATGTTGTCGGCGGAAACACAAAACGTTTGAAAACAATAGAACCACTGCAATTACGCCCATGATAAAGTTATTTTAATAAATTGCGCATCTGTATCAAGGATTTAATACTGATATTTAATAAAATAATTACAAATTGTTATTTTATTAATTATCTCAATTATATACTTGAGATTATGCTTCTCTCGCGATTTAGTTTTTTTGACATTATAATTAAATGGTCTTCTGTAAATATTAAAATACTAATGAATAGTAATTCATTATAAATTAAGATTTGATCTAAAATTGTTGAATTACATTATGAAATTTACAATGACACATACACAACTAAAAATAAATTTTAAAATAAATGTGATAATATTAATGTATATTTCTTGATGAAATTAATTTATTCTACTGGACTGATAGTAAAAATTAAATGTTATATTTTATCGGACGAAAATCTAAATTAATTGCTATTGATTAACTTATTGATTGCAGTTATAGTAAATGCATGTATATCAATTCCAAGAGAAATTTATAGTATGATCAATAAATATATTTACATAGTTGTAAAATGCTCAAAATAGTTTCAAAAGTTTGGGAGTCTTCAATAAAAAATTTGATGTAATGAATTTATTTAAATTTTTTTCTGCACCTCAATATTGCAGCAATTTGCAATTAATTATTAAATTGAATACATTTAAACATTTTACAATTCAATTTTAAGTATAAATCAAATTTATTGATCAAATAATACCTGGTGGGGTGGCTTTAGGATCACCTAATCTGCAATCCCTTTTAAGCGAGCATTCGAACATCTGGTTTTTTATTTTGGTTTCAGGACTCATGAGAAAATCCGGTAGAAAAGACGAGAGGATTGCGACATCCTCGTTGGGATCCCTTTTTGGGGTGATGGTCTTCAGCGTAATTTTACCGAACTTACTGGTCATAACGTCCGCCGGCATATTTGCACCGATAGTGTACTACTCGCGACCGATACGTCAATACCTATACTATACACTACAAGCTAAACGTTAAAAGTACAATATCAACGTTGACCCCTTCCTTTGATCTAACGACCTTCCATCCTGCCCACAGCCCGGAGTGCACCTTTGGTTATTATCCATTTGTNAGTGTACTACTCGCGACCGATACGTCAATACCTATACTATACACTACAAGCTAAACGTTAAAAGTACAATATCAACGTTGACATACCCCTTCCTTTGATCTAACGACCTTCCATCCTGCCCACAGTCCGGAGTGCACCTTTGGTTATTATCCATTTATTTATTTTTTATGATTTTTCATTTAAAGACAATCAAAAACTCATAAACCGTATATCACAGGAACTACGTTGAAAGCGAGACGATTTTGGAATGAGACAGACACGCGTGACATAACAGATATTCCGTTTTAACCAACGACAAAAAGCCATTATCTTGAATATAATGATAACGCGCATTTTCTTTGACAAAACAAAATTTCGTTGGCTTACTTATCTTTCCGGCCTTGGGTTTACGACTTATCGAAAATGCACTCAACAGCAATGCCGTTGCAGCAGCTATTATATTATACTATATAGTGATGTCATCTCTCCAAGAGCACTTATGTTATTTGTAGTATATTCATACGCGTATTCTATTAAAGTTTACTTAGACTGTCAAATGCGCCCACACATGTTCCGTTATTATTTCATATTTCTCTACATTAGCTCGAATACTATACACGTCCGGGAAGAAGTTACTCATTAAATACTTTATTTGGTCAACTGTATATTGTATGCATAACGATGCAACACACTCAAACCGAATGAATTGATATCTTAGCATTGTAATTTCTTTATTTGTATGTAATTCATGCGTTTGAAATAACGAACAATTAATTTTATATCTTGTCCGTATCATATATCAAATACGTATTACTTAGTAATTTGCATGTAATTAACTGTATATACATAAGAAAATTACTAAAAATATCTGAAAGTAGTTCTTATGCATATAACTCACTTTTATAAAAATCAAAATAACCTATCCAACAAACGATCAAAAGCATAAATGTTTACTTATTTTTATGTAAACTTAAAGTGTATCGCACAGTTAATTTCTTACGTTATTACAAATAAAATCCAAAATCAATTACAGACACTTTAAAATTAAATAAAAATTCAGCGCCATTTCAAAAGTCGAGAGGTAAATTGAAGTAGAGATTTTTTTATTCATTTCCAATAAAGCATGAAGATATTTTTTGATAAAAAGTAAAATGTATAGAGAAATGAGTGTGAAAAAAAGTGTGACTCAATAAATTCAAATACCTGCACGGAAAATATCTCCACATCCATCGCACCTAGCGGCGAATTGAGAGTCATAACAGTTGCCGCAGTAAATTTTATCTGTTTTAGATCCAAACTGTTTGTCTACTAATGACATGCGACATCTGCTGCACAAGAAGCAAGCTTCGTGCCAATGTTTGTCCTTGTATGACAAATCCTAAAAATACATTCAAATGAAATTAGTAATATTTTTATAGCTTATTAATTTATTGAAAATTATACCTTAGAATCGATGCCAATGGTCTTTTCGCATTCGTCGCAAGCGTTAGCAAAAGCTGTCTCGTAGCACTTAATGCAATAGGGATGATCATCACGAAGAACATATCTTTGACCCGTCAAAGACTCATCACATTGCCAGCAACAAAAATGTCCTGAATGCCAATCCTTGTTCATTGCCTTGGTGTATTCTCCACTAAAAATTAACTGAAAACAAAAATAAATAGAAAATGATAAAACAAATTTCAAAAGTAATAATAATAATAACATAACTGTATTAGTACCATAATGTGTACAAGTAAAAGCAGGATTATCTAGTTAAAATTTTTAAATATATCAGTATGCGTTTTTTTTTCAATTTTCGTTCAATTTGCCATTTTGAATTTACGAGAAAACGCTTTGATCATTTTTTTTAGATAAATCTTATTTTTAAAATTTCATTATATTTTATAATAAATAACTGCAAATAGTTCATATAAATTTATTTCGAAAATCATTTGATGAACAAAAATTTAATTTGAGGGACATTAAAAAATACTTTCTAAGGTTTTGGAAGATAGTCAATCCTACAAATAAATTACTAAATTAGTATTATGCGAAAAATCTTTGATAACTATGACCGTGACTATCAAATTATTATTATAATGATAGTCACGTAGAATGAACACTATACTAGTAATTAAGATAAACTTGTAGTATCAGATCAAGTTGCCTATTCCATTGTTCTTATAATTTTTTTTTTTTACAATTCATTCTCCAATACTACGGAATTTTACTATTTCATAAGTAATTGAAAAATATTTAAAAGTGCTATTAGAGCTTTTAGTTGAATTTAGAGTACGAAAATTTACAAAAATAAAAAAAAAGTCGAGTGAATTTGGTAGGTACCACACCCCTATAAAATGATAGTTTTTCACGCAATGAAGATATTACTCTCGAAAAAAAGTCCCTTGACCTTTACACTCTAAAACACCACATTAAAAAATCGTTGCGTTCAACACTTAATACTGCTCATAAAATTACAACCTAATTTTTTTAAATATTTAATTAAATTTCATTCTAAAATTACGTGAGGTTAATTTATAGAAAAAAAATCTACTAATTCATTTGTTAAGGGTTAGATATGCTTTTATAATAAATTATATGCCATTTTATACGAAGACTTAAAAATCGAAAAATGTATAACTCCAAAAACACGCGAAAAATATAATAATATTAATACTTTATTCCGTCAGTTTTCCATACGTCAAAAGAGTATGTCAACTAAATCTACAAATTTATAACATCAAGTCGTTTATTTGAATAAATAAACTTCTTTAATGCATTAAAACATCAAAAATTGAGATGTTTAAAACCTACCCCTTATGGTAAACTTAGAAATAATCATATTAACTTTTTATTTATGATGAAATTTTTAATTTGAAAACATTGAAACACTTTTTTTTATAAAAATAAACAATTAATAAAGAAAATTTATAAATGTTATTCATTACTCAAAACTATAAATAAAATGTATGCATTTTTGTCGTCATTCTGTTTTTAATTGATAAAAAATTGGATTTCATTCATTATAACTTATCAATTGAAAAGATAAAGTAATAACGTTAAATTTAAATGTTAATTGTGTATGACATAACATCAAAAAAACTTTTACATAATAAATGACACTGATGAACTGATTATTAGAGAAATAACAATATTCCATGCCAATAAGTAACCTCGTATATCTGATAGGACTAAAAATCAATAATTGGAACATTTCAATTAAATTAGTTTTATACAAATCTATTTCTTGTAATACCAAATTTACGTGTAAATCAGTTTTTTTTAATGTTGTAGTTTTAACATACAATTTGTAAGAATACAATAGATTTTTATTATGTGTTTCTTGGTGGTGCTTGTAAATTAGTTAGTCAAAAATAATAATTCCTCAAGATACGAAAAAAAAGAAATATTTTCATACGAAAAAAAAATTGTAACTTTTGAATCAAATTCAAATAATAATCCTATAATCAGTTTTCTACTTATGAGATAATATAATATTCCTAAATACATAAAAAAATTCTCAATAAAATAGATGAATAATAAAAAATCAAAAATTTTAACTTGACGCTTAAATAAATATATGAAACGTAAAAATTAAATTAATCTAATCTCTCAATGGTCTAAAATTTGTCTTATACACTTAGGCTAATATCTAATCATTGATAACAATCAAAACAAAAACACTTTTTATATCTTTTAGCTGAAAGTTATGCTAAATTTATTCATTATTATTATAAATATTATCTTATTCTTATTGGAGTATGTTTAACTTAAAATATATATATATATATATATATTAATTATTCGTTTTAAACTTCAATATCTAAGGAAAAACAAAATGGACTTACTATAAACTATATTACTTATATATTACACCATATTCAAATTGTTAGTACAAAGACAAAAGGTAAAATTACAAATACTGACAACTTAATGTATGATAATATAAATAACTTTGATAATTTATAAGATACGGTTAATTGAGAGTATTAAAAAAATCTTTTTGTAAATTTCTTACCAATTCTTATCAATAATGACAAAAGGTATTTTCCACATAATATTTATAAGATGAATATGAAAATAACTTTTAAATTAATTATGACATTATTTAAAAAGTTGAAAGTTTAATGAATTTAATATAGAAAACCCATTTCCAATTATTATTAACAATTAACCCAAGGGAATTGTGGAAAATACCTCTTGTCATACCCATTTTCAATTGCTGGACATTCATTCTCCTTATTATCAATCTCGGTGATAGTCACTTCCCCTTGATCATTACTCTCTCTCCTTTTGTTAGAAGCGGACGTGGTTTTTTTAGTCTTTCGGACTTTTTTCTCGGTAGTCGTTGTGAACTGATACTCTACATCGGCCATTTTATAAACGGTAAAATGGATTAAAAAGAATAGAAATTTAAAAGCTGATAAAAGAAAAGAACTAACAACGTTTAATTATTAAAAAACCGAGTAATTCAATGCGACTGGGTAGCAACAATCTCACGTACTGACTGTGAATGTAACACTTCGAACGTTACAACATAAGCAATTCACTGCCCCTTTACAGTGGGAGAAAACAATCCGCCCGAATTCTATTTTTAAAAAAATTCTAATCTAATGAAAGTTTATGCAGGAATTATAGTCCATAATATTTCTAGACAACGTCGCTTGTCTTTTTGCAGTTCTGTGTTCCAATAAGAAAGTTGTTATTAATCCCTAGCAAATAATTGCACACGGCGTGTGTAAATCTGAGTGAGATGTGTACCTACCCGCCAACATTGATTCAAAAATTTTATGAATAAGGAATCGTCTCATTTCTACACACGATTGTCACAGAGTTGCCAAAACTAATTTCTTCATTAAAATATCCATCAAATTCAACAAAATAAGATGTTCAATGCATACATCACTAATCAAAAATAAAAATAAAAATAGAATTCGTACAATAAAACATGATATCAGTTTATTATAACTCAACATATCGTGTAGATTCAATTTACTCGATAAGAATTATTATATTTTCAAAGAAATATTCTTGTAGTTTCCAAATAAATTCTATAATATGAAAGACTATATGGTTTTATGTCAGTTCAAAGGTCAGGGTTGAGAAATACTTTGGGCGTTCACAAAAATCGTTAGTAATTATTAATATTTTTTACTCTTGAAACTAAATATAAAAATTACATTTCCATAATAAAATCAAATTTTCTTTAGTGTATTCGAAAATTCTAATAATTTATAAGCAATCAATTAGATACAGTAACTATCGATTTATTTAGATCTATTTTAAGAATTATAAAAAGTAAATGGTTGATGGGAAAGAAGAAAATTAAGCTAAAATATATACTTCACACATTGCCTATCAGTATTTGTCAGTTATACTATCGGTATTTTTTACAATATTTTAATAAAAAAAAGAAATAAAATAGGAAAAAACTAAATAAGTTAGTATCAATTAAATAAACATAAATGTGTACTGACGACTTGAAAAATATTTCAAGTCTCATTTGATACGATATTTAGATTTTTCCAGAAAAAATAATGATTTATTGTAATTTGTCATATTATGTTTACTAAAAAATTAATTGGAAAAAATTCTTACGTGCACTTATTCTCAAAGTAATTATATTTGACGTTATACTAAAAATCGAGTTATAAAACGTATAACATTTAATTTGAATATCTTTATAAGCTTAATAAAATAATTTCAAAATATAGTTATGAATTTATAATTGCTAAAATTTAATTAACAAATAAAGTTAAAACGATTCAAATAAGGAAAACATACAAAAGCGTCGTTTCACTTTGTTCGATATATGTGCATTATGAACACTACACGTAATGTAACACTATTTAATTGTACATTTATAAAAGAAAGAATAACTGCGTGTAAATTTTAATAAAAGTTAATTACTATGAGATTTCTAAATAGTTTACGCTGGTTTTCAAATAATAAAATGTTGGAATACCCAAAATGTGTGGCAGCGTCAAACAACGTGTAGTATGCACACAATGACAAGGTAAAAATGTTATTATCCACATTTTGTTGCATAATCGACGCTGAAATTTCTCTAAATCTTATAAGATTTAATGAGCCCTCTAGTGCAAAAATATAATAATAAAGACGCTAAATATTATATTCCCTATTTTAAACTGACAACTCCTCAGTACATATTTATACAATAATTTATATTGTCTTTTATGATGTATGTTAATAATAATTTTCACTTCCATTGGAAAATATTAAAATCCAATTCTAAAGTAATGAATAATCCCTTTTTCTAAAGAGTTCCAATTTATTTTTACAAAAATACATTTTAAAACTACTATTTTACTTTGAAAGGAGACTGTTATTAACATATTATAAAAATAATATCGTTATTGAATGATAATAGCTGTCATCTAAGGTTGTTTTGAATACCCTTAAGTGATCTTGAAACTACTCAATGATTAATCTGGATTACTACAATTTTAAGGACAATTATATTAGATTCTGTGCCAAAATACTATAGTGCCATTTACTTTTTTTGACAGCATTCCATTTCTTCATTATAATTTAAGAAACTAAATAATATGTTATATATCTATTTTTCAATATTTCATAATTCTTATTAAATAGATAAATAAAAATAATATGTTTCGATTTTATTTTCGAAAGTTATTCCT